AGAAGCAGCAAAGCCCACATGGAAGAAGCACACCAGCCTGTGTAATCATGAGGTGTCGATGGGATCAGGTATCAGGCATCTAAGACCCAGAATAAAATCATACAAACGTGAATGGGATGGGTGGGGTCATGGAATGGAGAACCAAAGCCCATCTGTAGATAATTGGACATTCCTTACAGAAGGGTCACTAGGAAGAGGCGATCCAGTCAGGGTGCAGTATAACACTGATGAAACATATAACTTTCCGCTAGTTTTTTAATGCTTCCTCCCTTCCACTATCATGACCTCAGTTCTATGTTACAGATCAGACTAGACCAGAATGCATACACTGCTACAGATAAAAGCCCGAAACACGCGGAACGCAGGATAGATACACATCTCAGGACCAGCAATGAGAATTGAGATGGCAGGAGGATAAGGGGAAGGTGTGGGAAGAAAGAAGGAATCGATCACAAGGATCAACATATAACCCCCTCCCAGGGGGGACAAATAACAGAAAAGTGGGTGAAGGGTAACAGAGGATGATACAAAATATGAAAATAATAATCTATAATTTATCAAGGGTTCATGAGGGAGGGATGGTGGGGGAGGGAAGGAGGGGAAAATGAGGATCTGATATCAAGGGCTCTAGTAGAAAGAAAACGATTTGAAAATGATGAAGGCAATATATGTACAAATATGCTTGACACAATGGATGAATGTATGGATTGTGATAAGAGATGTAAGAGCCCCAATAAAAGTATTTAATAAAAAACAGAAAAGTAAAAAACAAGGGAGGTGTTGTAGGCCATCCGAACAGATGTGTTTGAAAGATGTTTCCAAGAATTAAATTGCCGATTTGACAAATGTATTAAGTGTTATGGATAGTACTTTGAAAGTAATAAGGTTGTTAAAAAGATTAAATACATAACTTTAAAAAAAAAAGGACTATCTCTAGGAAAAGGTTCAGTAGTTCTACCTGGTTGAGGAAGAAATGAAATATGGATGAAACCGCCTATGCACTCTGCCCCTGCATCCCTTCTAAACAGACCCCAAAATGACGCCCAGGCATCCCACTTAGGTCTGAACACCACCCCAGGGAGCACCAATGAAGTCACTTACCGCTGGAGGCAAACACACGCAGAGCCCAGAGACAGTGGAGCAGGTTCTGGCTGTGGGATAGATTTTTCCTGGCCATCATCAAGGTCACATCGAGTGCTTCCAATTCCAGTGCTTTCTTTCCAAAGTGTTTATCTAAGAATACAAATCAACTAGTCTCGGTTTCGTTTCACATTGATTCTAAAGATTGTGCGGAGGTTGGGGGGTGGGGGGGATAGAGAAATAGGACTAGGGAGAGGGAGGAGGATTGTCCTCTAGAGTCGTTATGCACGGTGACCAATGTGATGGCAATCATTTTGGGTTTGATTTATATGTCAGGTCCCCATGAGTCAGTGATGTCTAAGTAACAGCTCACAACAATAGCAGTCTCCATGTGGTGCAAATAGTCGATGGGTTCTAACCAAAAGGCTAAAGGTTCAAGTCTACCCAGAAGCATCTTGGAAGAAAGGGCTGGAGATCTGCTTTTTTTTTTTTTTTTTAATCAATTTATTGGGGCTCATACAATTCATCA